GCACCTACTTTTAAATCCATTGAGAATATCTTTCTATTTTTTTTCCTTTTATGTCTTTGTTAAATGTTTTCATACATACACTCAAGAGTGTAACTATACTTGCAAAATTGGTCTTGAATTAAATTAATTTTGATTAGATTTTATTCTTAAGTGACTGTGACATGTTAGATGTTTCATTCCATAAGTTAAAAATATCAATACTACTTAAAATTATATTAGCTGATTGAACAACTCCAATTTATTAAACTAAACCAGATATAAATCTGATTCTTGTTTTGACTGCGTTGCTTCTAATTTAATTAATAATTTCTTAATAATTTAAAAAATGTGTAAAATTATTTTAAAACATTTAAGTATAATTAAAAGTTTTATATTGAATAAAAGTAAAAGTAATAAATGACATATAAAGAAAAAGTAATATACTTTTTTGAATATATATATAGACAGACATATAGAAATCTTCTCATTACAAGTGAATTAAATAAATATTATTTGGAATAGGTTTGATGGGTTTTTGCACCAAACTAGACAAATATGCCTTCAATATTACCAAAAATGGACAAATTTTGACCCAAAGTGAAGTCGTGGGGTCCAAACGACTTCAATTGAAGAAGTCGTGCCCCCTGCACGACTTCACACTAATGAACAGTGTGAAGTCGTGCAGGGGGGCACGACTTCTTTAATTGAAGTCGTTTGGGTCCTCACAACTTCCTCATTTTCGTAATTTTGGTTGAATTTGTCCACTTTGGTAATGTTGAAGCCAAATATGCCTAGTTTGGTGCAAAAACCGGTTTGATGCTTAATGTTTTTAAAACTGAACTGTTAAACTAAATAATTTCGTCATTTGAATGAACCATAACATAAACTCTTGAATCTTGTATTTTTAGTCTTTCTTTATAATTAGCATCTCCATGTACACATAAAAGAATTCAAAGTCATCTCACACTGTCACAAAAATTTTATATAATAATAATAATAAGATTACACACATTTATATTAATTTGATACATGTTATAAGAAAAGAAATAATTATAAAAAATGATTTTTTTTATTTTTTAAATAATAAATAGTTTGAAATCAATATAAAAGATTTGTTATTGTCAAAATATTTTTTCATTTTTATATTAAGGGGTCAAATAGCAACAGTGGAAGAATCTTAATCTACTCCTTAAAAACTGGGCCGAATAGTAAGTGGTTGGCCCATTTATTTACTCTGCTTGCTTTGTATAGTATTCAAGTTCCTTTGTGTACGAGAATTCTTCAGTCCACAGCATTTATTTCGGAATAGACTTTCTGCATATTAAAAACATATTTTAAAAATAAATGGGAAGTAAACCAATGAATTTTGAATGCAGAAAGAAATGCTCTAAAAAAAATAGTTATTTTCTAATCTGTATGTATATGGATGAATTTGTTTCAGCTTTTTTTATGAACTATTTTTTTTTTAAACAGAAAAAACATCCAATATATTTTTCTATATTTAATGTTTGTTTAAACATGGTCACACAATAAGCTAAAAATAATTTGTTTTGATAGATTACTTGTAGTAGCTTATAAAAGTAAGTGGGTCTGAAAGTTATTTTGAAAAATAGTAGGCTACAAGAAAATCATAAATATAATAAATAATTACTATATTAATTAAGTTATACACTGTTTTGAAAATAAAATTATTGGTATCTCAAATAATTTTTATTATTAAAAGAAATTATACTTAATTTATGAATTAAAGTTTAACCGGAACTTTAACATTACTCTACACTTACTATATTATTGGTTATAAATTAATCTTTAATTAAATACATAAACTAATTTATGAGAAATATTCCTCTTATTTTTTCAAAAGTATTTTACTTTATCTTGAACAAACTCACTCTGTAGCTTCTTCTCTTTTATTTTATTTTTCATTTTTAAAAAATTATAATTTAGAATATATATTCCCAAGAATATGAAAAGCTAACAAACGTANTTATTTTTCATTTTTAAAAAATTATAATTTAGAATATATATTCCCAAGAATATGAAAAGCTAACAAACGTATTTTAAAACATGCTATAAGTATTTTTCCAATCATAATATTTCATTAAACTACAACACAATTATTTTAACATTTTCAGATTTTATTTCATTTTATTCAATCAAATGCTCAATCAAGTCACTTAAATATCGAAACTTCACCAATATGAAAGTTTAGAAACATATCTATAGCCTTAAAAAACAAAAAAGTTTGATTAATAAACTGATCATATTGTACATGAAATCTTCACATCAACAATAGTTACACAGTTTGCATAAAACAAATATGATGGTGAACTGAGATATCCTTATGTAAACATTTATTATAAATGAAAACGAAACTGATAGTGAGTGATGCATCTTCTCAGGAGAACTCAATCACATAAACACAACAACAATTAAACCTGACCTACTGGTAAAAAAATCACGAATTTATGAGTTTTTTTCATTTTACATATTTAATTTACTTTAATTACCTTTATTTAATATGCAATGTTAAAAAAAATCATACAAACTAGAATATAAACTAGAGATAAGATCAGTTTAAACTATATAAAAAAATAAAAATCTTATCTTATAAATTGGTTTTATAGAGATAAAGCTAGATTTAAATATACTTTTTAAATAAAATTTACACTCATTTTTATTTTTCTTATATTTTTTATTAAAATATATTTTTAATTTTTGAATTTGAATGAAAAATTAGAATTGATTTTTATTTTAAACTTTGATACATTCACTACAAAAATACATGGAATTACCGACGGATCTTTATCGACAATCATTTCTGTCGGTAAAGGATGCATTACCGACGAATTTTATCGATGGATGTAAAAAAAGTAATTACCAACGGATTTTGATCTTTGATAATTACCGAAGATCAAAATCTGTCGGTAAAGTCTTCGGTAATTATCGGCGAACAAAATCCGTCGGTAAAGCCTTCGATAATTACCGACAAGCAAAATCCGTTGGTAAAAAGAGCGACAAAATTCCCGCCCATTTTTCCTCTCTCACTACGCGAAGAAGACTACACTTTCATCTCTCACAAATCATCATTTCTTCTTTCAAGAGAATTTCTCACCTTCTTTGTAACTATTTTTCACTCTCGTGCAACCATCTTCCCATACTGTCACCGCTGCCGTTGGAGAGCGCCACCGCTGCTGTTGGAGAGCGCCACCGCTGCCATTGGAGAGCGCCACCGCTGCCGTTGGAGCGTCACCACTGCCACAGGAGAACTCCACCACTGTCGTGGGAGAACCACGTGGAACGTCACCGCTGCCGTTGGAGAGCGCCACCGTTGCCTTTGGAGAGTGCCACTGCTGTCGTTGGAGAGAGTCACCGCTGCCATGGGAGAGCGCCACCAGGAGAACGTCACTGTTGCCATGGATGCTCACAAACTAATTGAGGATTTTTCCTAATTTTAGGGTTTCTAAAACAATTGGACAACCTAAGTTTAGTCTTTGATTTTGGTTTTGGAATAAATTGGATTGTTGTTTTGGTTTAGGAATGAAGAAAGTTCGATAAAAAAAGTTAAAATTCGAGGAAACAGATAGGAAGAAGATGAACCAGATCGAGATATTTATCGACGGACTTATCGACGGTTTTTTCCTTCGGTAATTACCGACAGATTTTTTTAGTCATTACCGACGGATTTGTCTTTCGGTAATTACCGACGACCGTAAAAAGCCGTCGGTAAAGGTTACCAACAACGTTATTACCGGCGGAGTTAAGCCCATCGATAATCCGTCGAAAAAATGCCATTATCGATAGATTTTTAACGTTTCCGACGGATTTTGATCATCGGTAATAAATGTTTTTTTTTTAGTGATTTGAATACGTTAACTTTGAAAATAAGGAAAACACTTATCTAAATGTTTTTAGTTCTTTTAAAATTTATCACCTTTTAATTTAAATATCAGCATAAAAAACAGAAAAAAAAAAGTTTTACGTAGAATCAAGTAAAAAAAACTATATATATTCGTTTTAAAAGTTTGAAAATCATACAGCATCGAAGTTTGAAACATGTATGAATTCAAATTTTCTGACTAATTAAAACTTACATAAGTATCCTTTTTTTGGACATAGAATTTAAACTGTGAACAGTAAAGTTTTTGATAGTGGAAAAGTAAAAGGGAAAGAGAGATAGAGGATGATGAAACGAAAGATGTTTTGGTATGTGTTAAGCAAAGAGGCTGGGTTGCGGAAAATGGTGGGAAAGATGTGGCATCAATCGATGATCTGAGTTTGTCTGTTTGAGGGAGATGTATGTGGGGGTGTCCCACAAATCACGTGCATGAGGCACCTCTGGTGGCACATGCACAAGACAAAGGAGTGGTCATTTACAATCTCCTCTAATCCCCTCTCAGCCAATGATCATCTATCTCTCACGTGGGACTCTCTACCCTACCTCTCTACCCTCTCACATTATACTATTTTTTATTGCCTTCCCTCTGCATTAATATTCTTCACATTTGCACCTTCTACCACTCACACTTTCACATATTCTCATGGGANAACTATATATATTCGTTTTAAAAGTTTGAAAATCATACAGCATCGAAGTTTGAAACATGTATGAATTCAAATTTTCTGACTAATTAAAACTTACATAAGTATCCTTTTTTTGGACATAGAATTTAAACTGTGAACAGTAAAGTTTTTGATAGTGGAAAAGTAAAAGGGAAAGAGAGATAGAGGATGATGAAACGAAAGATGTTTTGGTATGTGTTAAGCAAAGAGGCTGGGTTGCGGAAAATGGTGGGAAAGATGTGGCATCAATCGATGATCTGAGTTTGTCTGTTTGAGGGAGATGTATGTGGGGGTGTCCCACAAATCACGTGCATGAGGCACCTCTGGTGGCACATGCACAAGACAAAGGAGTGGTCATTTACAATCTCCTCTAATCCCCTCTCAGCCAATGATCATCTATCTCTCACGTGGGACTCTCTACCCTACCTCTCTACCCTCTCACATTATACTATTTTTTATTGCCTTCCCTCTGCATTAATATTCTTCACATTTGCACCTTCTACCACTCACACTTTCACATATTCTCATGGGAGAGCCTTCTCATTCTTCTGCATCTTACATTCACATGGTAATACCTACTTTTCATTTTCTCTTCTTCTCTTCATCATCCTTTTCTCTTCTTCTGAATCGTCTTTCTACCAAATTTCAGGTGCAGCACCTCATTGAGAAGTGTTTGATCTTTCACATGTCAAAGGAAGAATGCATGGAGGCTCTCTCCAAGCATGCAAATATCAAGCCTGTCATAACATCCACTGGTATTATCTTCTCTTCTTTAATTATCATAACATATATGCTTTACAAACAAGATTTTGCACCATTTCAACTCCCTACAAGATCAAAGATATTCATGATCAGATCATTTCAAAATGTAAAATGACTTTCAACGCTTGTATGAACCAACCCCTTTTGATCGGTTAACTAGTTAACACCTTCGATTTCTTGCTTTGAGAATTTATAAAGCCACCTTCAACTTCCACTTCTGACTAGGACTTTGCTAGCTGACAAAAATACTGATACTGTTAGATCAAATAATTCATTTTTTCAGCATTTCACCCAACATGTTTCAAACTTTTGGGTCTATATATATTATGCTTCAGCCTTGAAAATTTTCCTAGGTTAATTTGAAGCTTCTCAGAGTTATATGCGGTTAAATTAGACATGTAAGACTCTGTATTAATCTTTACCATTTTTTCAATTGAGTTTAGTACTTATATTAATTATAATCTAGCTGTTTATTGAATTCTGTGCATCACTCTCTGCCATACAGATTCCAAGAGTTTTTAATCAAAGACTGTATAATATTGAGATTTATTTTTCTGAATGAAATTTTATATCACAAAAATTTAAACTGTGACTTAATTATTTGAGAACAACCATACCAATTAAAGAGCAGATGATCAATGTTTTTATTTTTTTCTCTCTGTTCAGATGTTTACCATTTTTGAATAAACTCCCTCGTAAACATTTGTGGAAAACAAAATAAGAATTTTCCTTTTACAAGTTAAAAGTAATCAGTGTTTTCTTTCAGCTAAAAGTAATTTATGTGTAAATGAAAGAATTTTACAAATTAATTTTATCTTATGAAAATAAATTCATTAACTTCTCCTTCTCTTTTTTTTTTATAAGTTAGAAATCTGTTCAAACAAATTTTTAATTCTGTAACTACTATACATATGAGATTTCAAATAGTACCAATTATTGAATGCAACATGCTTGTAAGATTCAACCACAGTGTCCTTCACTGTACTTATATGTTTTCATTCAATATATATATTATCTCTCAAATCTTAGAAAACATATATAAAAGTATGTTTGAGTTCACTAATTTTTAGTACTAGTAAGTTTCCTCACCATCCAAAGAATCCAAGAACAGAAGGAGCATGCACGTGAGTCACATGATGATGCATACCCGTACATTGAATGAACATGTTTTGTGTGTGTACATGAATACATATGTGTGCAGTGTGGAATGAGCTAGAGAAAGAAAACAAAGATTTTTTTGAGGAGTATGCCAAAGCTAAGAGCAAAGAGGACCGAATGTCGGAAGAAGAGACAAGCCAAATGATACAGAAGATGATCTCAGATTCCACTAAAGGTGCTGCCAATGACTAAGCAGCAGCCATTGAAAATGATCTCACCTTTCTCTCTGTTCTCCTTAGCTTCACCACCATGCATGCATAAGTGGTCCCTTCAACTTTCCAATGCACTTACTAAATAAACATATGCTGTATGTAATCAAAAATGGGGTTCTCACATACGGAATGAGCACGGATCTATAGTGTATGTGGTCCTCCTCTCCCTACTATCTTTTCTGGACAACGATAGTTTCATATTCACTTGCTTTTGACCATCATTTTAATAATATATTTCTACTTTAAGTTGATTAAAGTACTAATATTCTGAGTTATAATCAAGTTCTTATTATTTTTTTCCTTTTTCTGGAGTTTTATATGTGAAGATATTATCACCAAATGGTACAGTACTACTGATAGAGAGGGTGTTTGAGTTAGCAAATAACACTGTGCCATATCAGCATGTGAAAGATTTCCCTGTAATTTAATTTGAGGATAACAGTTATAAAATATTATAAAATGTGGCTGATGTGGCCAATGCTGACATGTGTCTGTCTGTTGTACACATACGATAATCACAAAGCTCATTGTAAGGTTAACGTTATACAACAAAGATATCTCCTTGTTGTGATCATTTCCAACCCTGTTGTGTATGCATGATTTAGGACCATGTCGAGTGACCCGGTTCTGTCGTAGAGGACTGATATTAGGGTTTGTGTCTTGTCGTATCGCATGATTATTAGTATAAAAGTGGAATGGTAGAGAAACGGGAAGAGGGTCCCCAGAAACTAACATTTCTTGTTAAAAAATAGCTTGTTTTTCATTCTGTCCCACATTGAATAAATATGCAGTCTTCACACATCAGCACACGTAATAATAAATTTATTTATAAAACAGTAAAAACATAAAAATGAAGATTAATACTGCAAATTATAAATAAATGACTCATTTATAATTATACAATGTTTCAAGCCCTCAAGCAAATGTATGTATATTTTAACACCAATTAATATATATCCGTGTCAAAGTCATTATCTCAAAGCACTTCAAGTTACAGATTGAATTAGAGATTCAAGATGTTCAAACATTTTTTTTATATAAATCTGATTTTTTTTTTAAATATAAACGTGTTCTTCACTTTCCAAATAAAAACACTTTCCAAATAACTTAAACAGTTATTCTCCGTACATTAATTAAAACTGGTTTTCTTTTACTACTTTCAGATCAGAAGACATGAAGTCAATAAGAAATATTGTTTCATATATGAATTGGTAGTACTTAATTATGTGACACAAAAATAAATATGAAGCTTAATGATTAAGCCTTAAAAGAAGAATGAAATGGGGATTGGAATTTTTGTCCTAATACATAGATAAGCCAGTCATTGTTCATGTGCAGTCTGATACAACTTATAAAAAGAGTTGCTTTAGACATGTTAGGTCAGCTAAAACAATGAAAACAGACACAGTAACTTGAAACGATGTCTTTCACCGTAAACTTTTAAGATGGTACAAATGGGTGCAGTGTAAAGCCACTGCTGTTAACGAATAAAACAGTAAAAACCAGTAAAAACCAAACATTGCAATGTTCATTTATCTTAAAAATGTGCATGATATTTTAATATATAGTGGTCATTTATAAGCTTTAAATTGCTTAAAAGTTGCAGATTTGCTTCATTGACACCTGGCTGAAGGAGCCAGATCCCACTTCTGAAACTGAAAGCCATGGATGTTCACTTCTCTGGTTTTCTCCGATGAAGATGAAAATTGAAATCCTTGTGTGGCAAATGCTGATTGGTTTAGGATATATTCTTGTATTGATATGCATATATGCGACATCGGAGATGAAAAAAAAAGAAAAGACAAACATGCATAGGTCTGAATCAGTGACGCACATATCTAAGTAAGAACATTTGTCTGATTGCATGAACGCAGAATACATCAACTTACAAATACAAACAATGTTAATTTATTGGTGACACTTCCACCACTTGTGTAATAACTACAAACAAAGTTATTTCACACCATCTCAGTAACCAACTTTTTTCAAAGTGTCATCAGATCTATCTATTTGTAATGCATAAGTAATCAAACTCAGTTCAACTACCTTTGTAATACATTATTCTGGATCTTTTTTACTTCACACAGACACATCATTTAATGAAAAATCTCACCGCTGAAAATCCTGTAATAAAAAGACTAAATAGTTTTTTTCTGTTTGTGGAGTGTTGTTGTTATTAGCATTTGAATATCAACAGTAAAAATATCACGAGTCACAGATGAATAAGAAATCTGCATACGCAAACATCATGATATTTGACAATTTGAAATCTTCATAGTACCTATAAATAGACGTGGGACAGGAGAAAGATTCCCGAGACCACTCCAGGTGAAACGGACACATATCAAAATTTAGTAATAATATATAATATTAGTAGTAGTAGTATATCTTAATATAAATGAATGAATGAATGGAATGTAGAATTCATGAAGCAACATGCAGAAATAGACACAGAAGATGGAAAACGACGAAGGGGTTGAAATCCGTGAAACGTAGGTTTTGCATTGCATTGATATATGTGTAGAAAGTGAGATTCCTCTCCTCTTGTAGTTTGTCTCATTGCTTATCTTCAACCATGGGGTGACTAAGTAGCAGCTAGGAGAAATCATGCAATTTTGTAATTTCTTCGACCAATGGCTTTCCCACTACTATCTCTCCATCTAACAACAACAACCTCAAACCAAGATCTTTCATCAAAAATCTAATAATTTTCATATATGGCCAACAACAAAAAAATGGTGCTTTTTTGCTCACTGCATGTTTCTCATAATTTTATCTTTCCGTACATGAATCTATGTCAATACAAACACACCGTTCCTGTGATATTTTTTCCTTTATCAAATGGGCCGTACGACAGGAGTTTAATTGTAGTCTTCCAAGTTCTTTAGTTGTTTGTTAAGGTAACAGCAATTATTTCTGTCAGATGAGAAATCTGTGGTTAAAAGTGCTTGTGCTTTAGAGAAAATGGAGAAGAGACTTTAAGGTAAGAGCAATTATTTCTGTCAGATGAGATATATGTGGTTAGAAGTGCTTTTGTTTTAGAAAAGATTGAGAAGAGACTTTGTTGTTTGTTAAGGTAAGAGCAATTATATATTTCTGTCAGATGAGATATCTGTGGTGAGAAGTGCTTTTGTTTTAAGGGAAAACTGAGAAGTGGTTTTATGTAAGAATGCAAGTTCAACATTTAAGTGACACGAAGTTGAGTAATATATATATAAATTATCTTGAAGTTTATTCACATAAGACTTTCATATCTTTTATATATAATCTTGACTATTTATTGTGATTGTCAATTTCTTTTTTGTTATTTAAAAATAAAATTATACATTTTATTTAGATTTTGCAAGTTTTTCATAATTTTTTTTATATAATGACAATATGAAAATTATAAATCTTGTTCTTAAATACAGTTTACCTACTTTATTATATTTATAAAATTATTTATTTTGTAAACAATTACCAAACCCATAAATGTGATGTCCATTTACTAAACTGTCATTTACTTGAAAATCATAATCATGTTTTGGACTTGATAAATGTGCAAAACTGGTATGAGTACAAAGGATGCTGTCCATTGTCAAGTTTTCGTTTGGGAAAATTACAATTATTGTTTTCCACTTGCCTCATAATTTAACGTATCTCTAATTGATGGTGTAGTTTTAACCTTCTTCAAATAATTCACAAAAATTGAAAATCTTATACTAACCAAAGATAAACACATTATGAAATCAATTTCTAAGATTAAGTAAAACTTAAAAAAGAAGAATATTCGAATCTTGAGGAAAAGAAAAAAACTGTTTTCTCTCTCACTAACTTTATTTAGACATATAATATAAAGTCTATAATGATAAGGAAAAAAAAAAGAAAGGAACGGGTTGTTGTTGTAAAATAATAATAAAAAAAGTATAAATCCTTAGGACAATAAATCTACACTTAAGAAAATACGATTCATGATTTTTTCAATAACTTATACTATATTTGTAACATGCATACACTTTTCTTGAGTAAAGATGCTTCCGTGATTAATTTATTTTGTAAATAGTTTAAACTTTGAAGAATAATTTTGTATTGCATTGTATTGGGTAGGAATAGATGAGATAAAATTACAAAAAAAAAAAGAACTCAAAAAGTATTTTCAAATGGTAGCTTTAGACTATAAGAGGGTTGAAGCATGGAGTCGTACCTTAGAAAATTGAGATGAGATTTTGAAACACGTGTTAAAAGAATAGGAAGGGTATCAAAAACTGAAAAAAAATCTTAAGAGACAGGTAGTACAAAGATTCAACTCCAACGTTGTTTCCGGCTTTTTTCCATTCACACATTTTCTTGTCGCATCAATGATGCCTATCACGATAAAGTGAGTCAGGATATGCAGGTCGGTTTTGGAATTCGTTTTGGACTAGTTTCTGTAACTTAAAAATGGTGCTGCCGGCATAGTTCAAAAATGTGTGACGAAATTAAGTCCCACATCGGTTGGTACCTGTACAGATTTCAACATCTAGTATATAAATACGAAGAAACTGTCTGCGTTAAAACTTGCCTTAAACTAATGAGTAAGGAAAACAAAGCAAGCAGTGGGAGCTGCTTGCAGCACTCATTCTGATGTGCAATAATTTTTGAAGGGGTTATAGGCTGGTCTTGAGCAGACGCTGCTTACTTATGCAGAACTCTCAAAGGCGGGCCTCCCAATCCCAAAATTCAGTGTTACAAAAGCTGAAACGAATAACTATAATTTTTATATTAAAAGGAAATTATAAATTAAAAAAAATAGAATGAAAAACAAATCAACTAATAATATCTTTCTGTATTTAGATAAAATCTAATATTTTTACATAAGAAGATTATTATAACATTTTTATATAACTGATTAAAATGTATTTTGAAAAAATTTAGTTTTTATATAGGGAGATCATTGTAACAAATTTTTATATCAAAAGGATGATGTAGACTGAAATTTGTTTATGATAAAACTATCAAAATAAACATTCCTGATATTAACATGAAATTTAGAAATAGGGAGAGGATAGAGAATATACTGGAGGTAAAGGAGTTTATTTAAATAATTGTTTAAATTTCAAACAGAAAGAAATAGAATGAAAATCAAATCAACATACTGATAATTTTTTATACAAATGAAAAACATCTTTCCGTGTAAAAGAATATCAAACCTATACCTATATGCTAACTCAAACTCTTCAAATACCTATGTCCTAATTCTAATTCAAATTCTCAAAATTGACTC